GATCTGATCTCAGACACTTGACACTTACTAGCTGTGTGACCCTGTGCAAGTCACTTAACTCCATTGCCTAGCCAAAAAAAGAAAAGAAAAGAAAAGAAAAGAAAAGAAAAGAAAAGAAGAGAAAAGAAAAGAAAATCTTTGGGGCAGCTAGGTGGTACAGTGGATACAGCACTGGCCCTGGAGTCAGAAGGACCTGAGTTCAAATCTGATCTCAGACCAGGCACTTGACACTAACTAGCTGTGTGACCCTGGGCAAGTCACTTAACCCTAATTGCCTTGAAAAAAAAAAAGAAGATCCCAAAGGGGGTCATAAAGAGTTAGACACAATTAAATTGACTGAAATTTTAAAATTGATGAAACTGAGCCAGATGAAGGTTAAGTGACTTGCCTGGGTCACACAGCTAGGTCTCTAGACTCTAGGTCTGGAACTCTATCTACTGCACTACTTAGCTGCCACTAGGGTTAAGAGAGACTTGCCCATTTTTGTTCTGGGGATAGGATCTGAACCCAGGTCTGCTTTGACTTTAGGTACCCAGCTTCTTTTTTGTATACCCATACACATTATTCTATAAATTTTATTTTAGTCCTTAACCTTCTATTAACTTATTGTGTGATTTTGGGCAAACCACTACCTATCTTTGGGATTCAGTTTCAATGTATAAAATGAGGACCCTTAAGGACCCTTATAATACTGTGATTTTTCATGAACTTATCAAAGAAAAGTGTCAATAGTTTACTTTTAGATGTTTGTTTCTCTGTATTAGAGGACTTAGGAGGAATATATGTGTTCAGGAAATTGTTTTGCTTAGCGAGGCATAGGCCAAATCTTACCCAAAACTTTATGTGCTCTCTGTTGGGTGTCTAGTAGGAAAATAAAGTTGCAGAGGGGAAAAAGTGCTTCATTAAAAGCGTAGGAAATTATAGAAGAAGAATCACAAAATGTTGAACTGAAATGCACCTTTGAATATTAGAGGTAAAAGGGATCTTAAACCCTCATTTTGCAGAAGAGGAAACTGAGGCCAGTGATGTGAAATGATTTTGTCCAAAGGCACAGAGTGTCAGGGGGAGAGTTAGAATGCAAGTGTAAGGTTATTTTTAGAAAACTTAACTTATTAAGAAAGTAACAGTTTAAGCATCTCATATAATCTACCCTTGCTGCATGGCTGAAACACTGAGATAACGTGGGTACATTATGAGATCCTACGAGTCAGCAAATTATGCAACAGAGATTATGCTTTAAAAAATAAGCAAGGTTGAATGAATAGCTGCATAATAGGAGTCATATTGGATGAGAAATCAGGAGACTGATTTCAAGGCCTGGCCTTGGGAAAATTGGCCTCAGCCTCCATTTCTTTTGTTTCTAGGGGACAGGTAGAATTCCCAAGGGAAAGGCCAATAACTACTCTCACTTCTAAAAGTTTATCAAGTACAGACAGGTCAGGATAATTGTGAAATAGGCATCTGGTCATTTGATTTTCCTTCCCCCTCTGGGGAATCTTGTTCTTTCCTCTAAACCAAAGCTTAGAGCCCTTGTATTCTCCATCGACAGGCAAACCTCCTCTCTGCCACGAGAGACAAATTGATAGAGTTAACACAAAGAGATGGGGGTTCTGGGTCTGGCTGGACCATTTGCTAAATGTATGACCTTGGACAAGTCTATTAACTTTTGCTAGCCTCAGTTCCTGTTGGATAGGGACTGAACCGATGATTTCGTTGGTATGGGGAATACCCATGTGAAGAAACTGCCTTTACTAAAGTAGCTCATCTCCTTCCCTGCAGCCTATAGTATAAGAGGGTTGCCTAGATTACTTAAAGGCTAGTGACTTGCTCAGGGTCACACTGACAGTGTGTATCAGAGGTGGGATTTGAACAGAGATCTCCAGAGTGGAGGCTCCAAGGCTGCCTCTTTATCTTCTAGGCCACACTACTTCCCTAATTACTTGAAAGTTGACTTCTTTTGAGGGTCCTTATCCACAGCAGTTTCTCCTAGCATCATTGGCCCCTTGAGAGGACAAAAACCGAATTATGCGTTGGAAATCATATTTCTGCTTAACTGGGGTGGGAGGCAGCAATGTTTAAATTCCAACTCGTTCAGTGGCCCACCTGTACCATATGTCAAGAGTTAAGCTATCACAATATTACCTCCATATTAATCTTCCTAAGAAAATTTTTTTCACTATGTCCCTTCCTAGCTCAAGACACCACAGGGCCTCCTTTTGACCTGTCAGATCAAAATCACTCCTCCACCTCCACAATTGAGCCCTACTTACTTATTCAGGTGCATCTCCCTATTTCCTGACTGAATTCTTTCCTGCAGCTATTCAGTTAAACACACACACACACACACACACACACACACACACACACACACACACACGAGTCTGGGTAGTCTTCCTTTGATGCTTTTCTATCTATGGAATTGTGAAAAAGTCACTTATCCACTTAACTTTCCTAGGCTTCACTCTTCCTCTTTTGTAAAATAAAGGAGTTGAACTGATTGATTGGAGTTATGGTCATACTAAGAAATGATGAGCTGGTTGATTTTAGAAAAGCATGGAAAGACTTGCATGAAATAATGAAGAGTGAAATGAGCAGAACCAAGAGAACATCATATACAGTGACAGCAATGTTGTTCAAAGAATAACTGTGAATGACTAAGCTATTCTGAGTATTATAAATATTCAAATCAACTACAAAGGACCCATGATGGAAGATACTATCCACCTACAGAGAAAGAACTGGTAAATAGAAGTATGTATAGTATGGTTTTCTATATCTACGTATAGATATAGACAGCTAGATATACATATGTGTGTGCATATAGGTATAAATATATACACACATACACACATGCATAGGGAGACAGCTCAGAACTTAAAATGTAACAAAAAATTAAAATTAAAAAAGAAAATATAGTCATGGGAATTTAAAAGTTATAAACTGGCCATAGAATCTTAGATTAGCAAGGGAAGGACCTTGGAAGTCATCTAGACCATTTTCCTACCTGAAAGATGAATTCCCTATAGGACATCTCTGACAAGTGCTTATCTAGCCACCATTTATTTATTGGGTGCTCAATATGCCCTTTAAAGCAATTTGTTACCCTTTTGGACAGTTCTAATTGTTAGGAATTTTTTTTTCCCATGTATAGATTCAAAATTTATCCCATAGCTTTCACGCATTACTCCTGGGACTGCCCTGTGGCGACAAGCAGTACATACACGCCTGACTCTATTCCCCTATGACAGGGCTTCAAATACATGAATAGAACCATCAGACTCACCCTCCCCTCCAGATCTTTTTCAGGTACCAAACCCTCAGTTCCTTCAAACCATCCTCATCTAGCATGATTTTAAGCCTCCTCATTATCTTGCTAATTTTAACAGCTAGCGTTCATATAGCCCTTTAAGGTTTGTAAAGTGTTTTACAAATATTTTCTCATTTGATCCTCACAATAACACTGGGAGGTAGGTACTGTTATTATCCCCATTTTACACATGAAGGGACTAAGAAAGATGGAGGTTAAATGACTTGTTCAGGGTCACACAGTACATTTTTGAGGCTACATTTGCACTTAGATCTTTCTGACTCTGATGTCAGGGCTTTATCTGTTGTGCCAGCTGGATGTCTTAATCCTCATTCTCCTTCTCTGGATGTGCCCAGGATTGTCAATAAGTGATCTGACCAGAGCAGAGGAGAATTAAACTACTGGGTCCTTAACTTTCACTTCTCCTTCTTCCAACCTTCATCCCCAGTTTTGTCTCATCTTTAATCCATAGTTTATTTTTGAGTTTATCGACTCCCTGGGACTTGCTCCATACAGCTTTTTACAATTGGTCCTGAACCTTCTGGCATTCGATCCTCAATATAGAGCTAGATGTAGCGAATTCAGAGGCAGCCTGGTCTAATGCCCCTCTTTCCCAGTTGAGGTCCAGAGAGGTGACTCGTTTGTTTAGCATCACACAGAGCCAAAACACAGGCATTCTGACTCCAAACCTAGCACACTTTCCACCGTCCCAGGCAAACTCCCAGACTGACTCCTCAAACAGACAGAAACTTCCTGGTATGACAGAAGAGAGGAATGAGGGATGGCCCTGGGGTTAAGAAACCTGAGATTAAACCTGACTGCTCCTTTCTACCCATGGGACCTTCATAGAGTCACTTTAATCCCCCAAGCTTCAGTTTCTTCCTCTACAAGACATAAGTATGATTCTTAACACTTGAGACGATTTATGTGAGGGGGGCATCCATGAGAAAGCCTTACCTATTTCCCTAAATGGGTTAGGAGGGAAAGCAGTTAATCTACAGAAGAAATAATCCTCCAGTGTTTTAGATCCTAGCCTCTCTCTCCTCCCTCGCTTCATCTTTGATTTTTGCAGCTGGAAGCTCCACTTCCTTGTCTTCTCTGGGGACCCTCCTCTTTCTCCCTCTTCATCTCTTATACCTCTAGTAACTAAAGCAAGAAGAGTTGGTCCTTAAACAAAAGATTTGCATGAATGTAAACATAAACAAAGGCTTAAACATTTTAATTTCAACGAGAATGAAGAGCCTTCCCCCACAAATGCACTTGGGGAGAAGGGCTGGCTACCCCATGCTAGTTTTGTTACTAGAACGAGGCAGTGAGACCAGATAACCCACAATGCCCCTTCTATCTCTGGTCCTAAGTACTTCTTATTTTGACCTATGCTCCCAGTATTATGACAAACAAATCGAGATTATCATTTGGTGGTTTCCTCATTGTTAGCTCGTACTCCTGTCCCCAGAGCAGGACAGAATAAGGTTGGCGCATCCTTCAGTCTCTCTGAGATAAATATGGAAAACCTCTTTGCTCTCCTTTGAAAGTGATGCACTGACCACATCGCCCCAAAGGAGGCCTCTGACTGTGGCTTCAAGTGGGACATCTATTTGCCCTTCCCAGTTATTTATGTGAGTAGCATGTCCATTCCTGGGGCTGCTCATGCATTCATTATCTACATGGTAGGGGAATGGGGTATACTTACTGCCTGTTCATGGTCCCAGGGGCCAGAGAACTCATTTGGAGTCAATAAATCTTCAAAAGGGCCTGTAGAAATAAGAGGAAATTGGTAAAGCCTATCTGAAATATTGTATTCTAATCCTTCTTTAATTGTAACAGTTGCATTTTGTTAGAAAGGAACACAGCAGGAGAGATTGGAGTAATTGATAGAGCAGAGATCAATCAAGATTCATAATTGGCTTATTCAGAGAGCACTGGGTGACTTTTTTTTTTCAGCTGTCCTCTTTCTGTCGGTGTTAATGCCGTTTGCCGCAGGGACTTCACAAACACGTATTGAGCCTGGTTTTCCCTTGTGTGCAATTGTGGGCTCCCCCTGGGCGCTAGGGACAGGTTGGGTCAGGTATTGCCTACTCAGAAAAATCCACAGGGCTTTCTGAGCGGAGAGCTGGAGTCAGGCCTTTTGTTTTAAAATGCAACTTTGCTCCTTGCTAAACTTTATGTTTTTGTAGCAGTTTTTTCCCCCCATGAGATACCAAGATTGAGAGCTGGACCTGACCATATGGGACCAATTCCTCCCACCCCCATGCCCATGAGGAAATTGTCGCTGAGACAGAGCATGTGACTTGTTAGGGGAAGTAGGGTATAGTAGAGTGAGCTTATAGTCAGGCTCAGCTAAATTCAAATTCCTCTTCTAACACTAGTATGTAAAAGAGTTAGTCATTCAACTTGTATGTATCTGAAGACACAGTTGTTGTTCAGCTGCATCCAACTCTTTGTGACCCCATCTGGGGTTTTCTTGGCGAAGACACTGGAGTAGTTTGCCATTTCCTTCTCAAGCTCATTTTGCAGATGAGGAAACTGAGGCAAACAGGCTTATATGACTTGCCCAGGGTCACATAGTTAGTGTCTGAGGCCAGACTTGAACTCAGAAAGATGAGTCTTTCTGACTTTAAGCCTGGCACTATCTGCCATTCCACCTAGCTGTCCTGTACCAGTGAAATAATAAGTCTCAGCACCCCCTTTCACTCCTCTCCCTCCCTCCCTCCAAATTACAGATGAGCAAACAGGCTCAGAGTAATTAAATGAGTTATCGAAGATCTCATAGCTAGGCTGAGGTCGTATTTGAACTCTGGAAGATGAGTCTTCTTGACTCCATCCACTGAAGCCAATAGACCCTCTGAATTAACTCCCGAGTTATAGACTGATTGAGACTTGTTACTTCACTAGCGTAGGTCAGCTGGGCAGCGCGGTGGAAAGTGCCAGGCCTGAAGTCCAAAAGACTCATCTTCCTGGTGCTTTGACATGAGATAGAGTGCTACGAGAGATCCCACGTGGGAAGGTTCTTTTCTGATGCGAAAAATCAGGGCAGGATTCATAGAGGATGCGGTAGCATTTTAACGGGTGGTACTGGAAAGATGGCATCCTAGAGCTTGGGAACAGTATGAGCAAAGCACTTAGATGGAAAAATCGTGGGATGGGGTCCAGAAATAAGGAGGAGTACAGGTTAGTCATGTGAAAAAGACTATGAACCCCAGTTCAAAAGATTGGTTGGAGCCAGATGGCAGGCCTTGAGTGGCAACCTAGGGCATTTGCATTTTATCTTCCTAGGTATTAGATATCTTCCTGAGTTCCAATCGGGCCTCAGACACTTACTAGCTGTAGGATTCTGGGCAAGTCACTTAACCCTGTTTGCCTCAGTTTCCTCATTTATAGAATAACCCAGAGAAAGAAATGCCAAACCATTCCACAATCTTTGCCAAGAAAATCCCAAATGGAGTCACAAAGAGTTGGAAGTGACTGAAATGGCTGAACAATAACAAATTAGGAGGTTGGGTTTTTGTTTTAGAGAGGAACTTGGGGTAGTTAAAAGTTTTGGGTTACTAGGAATGTGACATTAACAGGAAATAGTCTCTGTACTCAGAAATGGCTAGATGTTTCTGTCCAATGTTTTGTGTTCTTGCATTTTATAAAGGAGGTGGTGAAAACTGGACAGGGAATGAGAAAGAATGATCAAAAATGCCCATAAAGCAAACGATAGTGTAGCAAATACTGGGGACATTTTACTCAATTTGGTGGAGGAACCCACTAGTGAGAAGAAAAATGACCCAGCTCCTCTCCTATGGCAAAGATAGTAAGGCTCTTTTAAAGTAGAAGATGAATAAAGTGAAGAAGAGGACCAAGACAATTAAAAACACAACACCATGAAGAGATTGAAACAGCTGACATACTAGAAGTGATGCAGGTGGAAAAGGGACTTACTACCTTGGTTGGAGGAGTGGTGATTGGGGAGCCTATTGTAAGACAAACTGGGCCGCTCTCCTTAGGTGAACATATTTAGTGGAAAGGGTGGGTCAGAGCCAGTGCTGGACTGGAAAAATCATAGTCCATGAGCAGCATAGGATAATGGAAAAACACTGGGCTTGGAGTCAAGGTTTGGGTAAGTAAATTATGGGATGTCAGAACCTGAGAGACATAGAATAGAGAATATTCAAGTTAGAAAGAACCTTAGATCATATAGTCCAGTCATTCATTATACAAAGAAATCAAATGGGGGCAGCTAGGTGGCGCAGTGGATAGAGCACCGGCCCTGAAGTCAGGAGGACCTGAGTTCAAATCCAGCCTCAGACCAAACCCTTGACATTTACTAGCTGTGTGACCCTGGGCAAGTCACTTAACCCCAATTGCCTAAAAAAAAAAAAAGAAAAGAAAAAGAAAGAAAATGAGGCCCAGAGATGGGATGCGTTCATTAAAGAAGAGTGCTTTGCGCAATTGTCAATGCCTAATAAAATGCTTCATTCACTCACTCATCTCAAAATCAGGCCTCCTGAATCAATGGCTACAAAGCTTCCTGCTAATAAAACCCCAGATCAGCTAGAAACTGATGATAAAATTCAGGTTTTGTAGCTTAAAGACTGACAATTGTTTCTATAGCCATAGGGATAGGTTTCCATGCTTGCAGATGGTTATGCTTTTTATCACTAACTCAGCCCCCGACTTTCCATCTGCTTTTCTTCTCTTTTGAATGGTCCCCTTCTCTCCCGGCCTCTTGTTCAGTCATTTTTCAGTTGTGTCTGATTTTTTGTGACCCCATTTGAGTTTTTTTTTTTTTGGCAAAGTTACTGGAGTGGTTTGCCATTTCCTTCTCTGGCTCATTTTACAAATGAGGAGACTGAAGCAAACAGGGTGAAATGACTTGCCCAGGGTCACACAGCTAGTAAATGTCTGAGGCCAGATTTGAATTCAGGAATATGAGTCTTCCTGAATCCAAGCCTGGCACTCTATCTACTGGGCCATCTAACTGCCCTTATTCTGAGCCTGTACCTTATTGGTACTTATGGAATGTCCTATATTATTGGCTTAATAGACTGTTAGATGACAACTTTACTTGTTGCCTCAGCCCATCTCCTGAGTAGAGGAACCACCAGGTCTCCCTTTGTCACCCACCCTTTCTACCTTCTTATTCACTCAATTGTTAAGGCAAGTGCTGACGAGGCCAAGGTCATGGGTTTCATAACTTTATGAGCCAATTAGCTTCAGTTAGAGGAAAAACTCCAGGAACTCAAGGAGATATCTTAAGCTCCACATCCACAGTGTTGAAGGGAGGTTGGCTTCATTGGTTAGGGTCACAAAGCAAGGGGGCAAAGGTCATTGGATTTAGTCCCACGTGGCCAGTTAATCTAGACCTGTTCCACAGCTGCAGGCTGCTTTCTTAATGTGGGACTGATTGGTCACTTCTATTCAGTTAGCCTCTATTTTTCAAATAGGAAAATTATGACCCCAAGATGGGATTTGGCTTGTCCAATTTCACATAGGTAGTTAGGTTAAAAACCAGAAAGTCCAACCATTTTTAAATATAAGAAATAAAATACACATGGCTGTAGAACCTGTCATGAATTTACTGATTATGAACATTAAGAGACAATTAAACTGTCCCCATTCCTGACCCTATCCCCATCCCCAAACCCCTACAAGAACATATTTCTTTCCTTGGGCACGGTTACTGGCCTTGTAGATCAAGAGAATGGCACAGATTCGATTCTTCATTTGACAGCTACCCTTGTAGACAAGATGGAAAGATCTAGACCATATGATAAATTAGTTAGATGGATTTGAAGTGGGCAAGGAGTAAGTCATAGCGCTGGGCTGACTGGGTGTATTACAAGTTCATGCTATTTAATTTCACCTGGGTCCTAACTTCTGTACATCAGAGCCATTATTCTCTTTTCACTGATTCCATTGTCCTTGTCTTAGTGGCTATTGCAGGCCTTCTCCTTTCTCCTCAAGCTCTTCTCTCTTACAGCAGATGTCCTTGCTGCCTGAGAACACGGAAGCCATCTGCTGTGAATTTCCTTTTCTCTTCTGCTCCAAACCTTAAAATGGCTCCACAGGCTCACTCTCTTTCCTTTTTCACTCCTGTCTGTGAGGAAGAGGTGAGCCCCTCTCCTTGCCAAGGCTAACTCCTCCACTCGTGCCATGGATTTCAATCTCTCTTTTCTCCTCTAAGTTACTTTGCCACTGGATCATTCCCACCTCCTCTTATTTCCAGTCTCTCTCTATCCATTGGCTTTTTCCCTATAGCCTATAAACACACTCAGGCCTACCCTATATTTAAAAAAAAATTTAAAAAAGTCTTTATTCTGCTATTCCCTTAAGCTGTTGTCCTATATCTCTCTTTACATTGCCAAACACCTAGAAATAATCAGCTACCTTCACTGCATCTATTTCCACTTACTTTTCAACCCCTTTCAGTCTGGCTTCTGATCCTGCCATTAATGGAATCTCATTTTTCCAGGTCACCAATTTGTTTTAATTGATAAATCTGAGGATCGTTACCCATTTTTCATTGCCTTTGACTAATCTCGCAGCAGTTTTTAAAGTTGATGAACATTCCTTCCTCCTGGCTTCCATGAAGCAGTGGTGTCTTGGGTCTCCTGCTTCTCCTCAGTCTCCTTTGTTGGATCATTAAGACAGATGTTCACGAGTCCTCTCTCCCAGAGCCTGTTCTCCTCTGTCTTCATATTTCCTCTCTTGAAGAATTCATCAGCTTTCATGGGTTTAAGCATTACCTCTAAATCTATATATTCATC